ATACACACACGCCACACCTACACATGCACACATGTACTCACAAACACACACACGTGGAAATGTAAACTGTAAGTTCCCATTTAAACTACTAACAGTATTCTAGAAAGTAAGGAGGGTGAGAATCTCCTGTGACCCCCACCACCTTAACACAAAGGCAACCAGCTCTCTTTATTCTTGTGCATAATAGGTGGTGAAAATATTTTGTTTAATTTTTTTAAAGTTGGTTCTTGCCCTGGCTGGTGCGGCTCGTGGGATGGGGTGTGCCAGAGGGCTGTGGTGTTGGTCCCCTGTTGGGGCACCAACACAAGGCAATCAATCGATGTTCTCGCTCACACGGACCTCTCTCTTTCTCTTCCTCCCTCCCTCCCCCCCTCTCTAAACAAGTCAATGAGCCTGTCCTTGGGTGAGGATAAAAAAATAAAAATAGCCCTGGCCAGTTTCGCTCAGCGGTTAGAGCGTCGGCCTGTGGTCTGGAGAGACCCGGGTTCGGTTCCCGCTAAGGGCATGTACTTCGGTTGCAGTTTGTCCCCGGCCCTGGTTGGTCGTGCGGGAGGCAGCCACTCGATGTGTCCCTTCACGTCGATGTTTCTCACTCTCTCTCCCTTCCTCTCTCTCCCTCCCATTCTATCTGTACAAAAAATGGAAAAATATCCTCGGGTGAGGATAAAAAAATAAAAATAAATAAAAATAAAAACGTGGTTCTTGCTCATCTCGGTGACACTTGGTGCCGCCAAGGTGCTGGATCACCACCGCTCCCACGGACCCGACACCAGACTGTGGAACACGGCACTGTTCCCCGGCAGAAGCCAGCTCACAGGACCTAGAGACAGAGCGCAGACACGTGGACGAAGCCGGCTGTTACTCCAGGGCCCGTGTCCTCTGAAGAAACTCTGATCCCAGACGCCGTGGCACGTGAGCCCTGGGAGCGGCGCGTCCTCCCTCCCCGGGAGCCTGGTCTTCCGCTCAGCGCAGTTCCCGCCAACCCTGCAGACAACCAGGAAGACAAAGTGCCAAGGGCCCGACTGCAGCAGCTAAAGCAAGAGACCAGACTGAGGCTGAGACAGTTTTTTCTGTTTTAAAAAACATTTTTTTTCTTTATTGATTTTAGCGAGAGAAGAAGGGAGAGGGAGAGGGAAACATCGATTGGCTGCCCCCTGCCTGCCTCCCACTGGGGATCAGGCCCACAACCTGGGCCTGGGCCCTGACCTGGAATCGAACCGGAGACCTCCTGGTGCAGGGGTCAACGCTCAACCAGAGCCACACCGGTGATGTGAGAAAGGTTTTGACCCACAACAAAGCAAAGTGGTGGGCTTGCTTTGTGAAGAGACCATTCATCATGAGCAAGAGCCTCAGGACCTGGACTGTGAAAGGAGCCGGGCAGACACTGCTTTGCAGCCGGGGCAGCATTGATAGAAGACACCCTCATTCATAAAGTTCCATACAGGAGAGAGAAGAGAGCATGGCTCTCCTTGAAAAGTTCATTATCAAGAATATGGGGGGAGGGAAGAAATAATTGTCACGGGGATTGGATAAAGTTCTATACAGAAGAGAGAAGAGAGCATGGCTTTCCTTGAAAAGTTCGTTATCAAGAATATGGGGGGAGGGAAGAAATAATTGTCACGGGGATGGGAAAAGTTCTGCAGTGTTAAGCTGATGGTCAACAAGCAAGAATAAAGAAATGTCTAACTTTAAAAATTTTGGCTCTTGAATTGTGAAGATAAATTAGGAACCTTTTTTTGATTTCTGGGAAATGCTTCAGAAACAAGATGGAACAGAAAGTTTTTATTTGCAAACACTATTACCCATTTCCTGTTCCGACCTCAGCAGTAGCTGTGAAGGTGCTGGCCAGTGGCGGGTCCCACCCTCCCGGTGGGGACAGGGTCGCTGACATCACCCCACCAGCCTCCTCAGAAGCAGTTTCAGGATGATCCTGCTGCTTCCTGTGTTTCTTCGAGAATGGAAACTGCCTCCGGAGAGCGCGGGGGATCCCCTCTCGCCCACCTTCCATCTCTGCTGGCTCAGATCACCTTGGGCTGGTGCCTTGGAAACTCTAGCATGCCTGTCCCCAAACCAGAGGCTGGGAGCCCCGGGCAGGTCTCCAGCCCTGAGGGTCCTCCTGCAAGGAGGAGGGTGCTGCCCTGCAAGGGCCCGGCCCCTTGCTTCCTTCGCTTCCTGCACTTTGTCACTGGGTCCCGAGACGCAGCCACAGTGACCACAGGCGCAGGAACATGCACTTCTCAGCACCCAGCGCCCACCACAGACCATCTGTATAAAGGCTGACAGTGCACGGACACCACAAACCCACATGCCCAGCAGCATGGTCACCGCAGCCCAACGGGAAGGGCCAGGCAGCTGCTCAGCCACCCTGAGCTCTGCTCCCCTGAAAAGCCCTCGGGGACAAGTGCTTGTGGACAAAGCCCTCATGGCCATGGCGCATCCCAACAGGCCACACGTGGGCCATTCAAGTACATGCATCACAGGCACAAAGCCACAGAGTGGACAGACTGGGGGGAGGCCGTGACGCCCCTGGGTGGTGGCACCCCCACACAGGCACAGCAAACACGCACAGAGGAAGTCCCTGGCAGGGAGCAGGTCGGCGCAGGGTGAGTGCCAGAGTCCTGGCTGTGGGGTGCGGGGCTGCCCAGGCTCCCTGAGGCCGGATGCGGCAGTTCCCACACTCATGGGAGCCCGACGCCCTGAGAGCTACGACCCTTCCCCAGGGGACACCCCACTCTGGCAGCCCTGCCCCGCACCTGCTTACTGGAGAGGGTTAGAAGTGAGAGAAAGAGAGGGGTCAGCCTGGCGGTGACCCCAGATGCGACTTCCCAAACCTAAGAGGTGAAGCCAGGACACAGGGCAGGAGGACAGGGCCAGCCAGCAGGGGACACAGAAAAGGGGCAGATGGAGCCCCTGACCTTCCGCCTTCCTCCAACCAGAGACCCTGTCCTGCCCCTAATGAAGATGAGGAAGGAGGGCCCTGTGGTGGGGGCTGGTGTGTGTTTAGGGGGATAATATGCTGATAAGCAGTGGGGAGCTCACCTTGGCATGTGGCACCCCAAGATAACCTGGGCCTCCTGTCCCCTGTCCTGCCTGTGCTGGCCCCGGATCCAGGCTCTGATCCAGTCACCGGCTGGCCCTGAGCACCCCAGGGGACCTCCAGGTCCACGTCTCCACCTCCACTCACAGTCTCTGTGTCCCCTCATTGACCTCCACACAACCCCTGCCAACCCAGAACCTCCCAGGGCCCAAGTGCCCCCCTTCAGCCTCCTGTCTGCATCCCCCACGCAGCCACCACTCCAAGCAGGAAGGGGTTCTAGGGAAGAGAGTGACATAAACCAGGGAAGGAGGGGAAGGGGAAGGGGACAGGATGGAGGGGGAGGGGAAACAGAGCGGAGACCAGGGAGGTGGACAGGAGGGACTCAGTCATCCCTGACTTTTGGCCTCTCTCTTGACACATCATCGCCAAGCTCTTGCAGATAAAGTCACAGCCTCTCCCAACCAGAGCACAGCCCCGCCCTCCCCGACGGCCCCTCAGCCCAGGTCCTCAGAAGACAGCATGTCCTGGTCAGCCCACGGGAGCGGAGGGCTGTGTGCTGGACAAGCCTGGACTGAGCTGAAGTATCTGGTTCCCTGCTGGCTGGTGCCTGGGGACCCTCACGTTGACCTGGCCACAGCCCCCAGCTGAGCGCCCCCACCTGCACAGCGCCAGCCCCCTGAGGGGGCTCTCTGCCGGCAGGCCCCCTGGGGCCCTGCAGCCACCCACGTGGGGAGTGGCCCTTTGTTCTACCCTGGAGCCTCCCGCCACTCCGCTCGCTCTCCGCCTGCAGACATCATCTCTGATGCTCTGTTTCCACCGGTTGTGCGGTGCCCTGACCTAGGAGCCCGCGCCGGCTGTGGCGACAGCTGTCAGGCGGTTTCTGGGTTTCTGTCTCCGTTATTTTAAGCTGATGAGACCGCACTGCACACTAATATCAGCAGTTTTTTTCCCTGTTTTCCATTCACTATCATAAAACGCTCAGAGCAAGACTCTCTCACAAACATCAGGCCAGTCACCTGGGACCCCAGGACCACCCCCCTCAACCCGAGCAGTGGGGGGCAGGGGGGCCTGAGGGGATTGTGACGCCTCACAGGCTGAGCCCCGCACTGCAGGCTGACAGGAGGAAGACCAGGCCATGGACTGCCCAGCCTGCCGTGGGGCCCTCTGGAAGCCTGAGGCTGAGGGGTGCTGGCACCCCATGTCCTGCATCAGGGAGCCAGCGGCAAGGCCCCCAGGGGAGGCAGGGCGGCCAGGATCAGGGTCTCAGGAGGGCCTGGCAGAAGTGCCCTGGCCCAGGCAGGTGACCTTGCAGCCGGGAGGGCCCCTGTCGCTCCAGGAGCAGGAAGGCCTGTCAAGCCCTTGGCCAGACCAGCCTGCGCTGCTCGCTGCCCACTGCCCAGAGGGGTGGCTGGGTGGGGGTCACAGAGGTCTGGCCAGACATTTGCCTGGCGCCCTCAGGGGCAGAGCTGGTGGGTTCCAACACTGTGGCCACCAGGGCACGACAGAGGAGGCAGCTGGGCTGGGCAGGAGGTGGAGCCCACGCTTCACTGCTGCCTGGGGGCCTCGGTCCAGAGACGGGGCTCACCTTCCCACAGACAGGAGGGTAGCAGGGGAGGGAGGAAAGAGTCACCCCCCCATCCTATAGAAAAGGAAAGAGGCAATCCCAGATAAAGAAACAATGTTTTTCCAGGAGGACAGACCCCCAAGCAGGGTTGGGGGGGGTGCGCCAGGTGCCCTCTCCTCCACCTGCCTCTCTCCCTCTCCCTCATCCTCCGTCTCTTTCCGTCTCTGTATTTCTCTCTTTCTCCCTCCCACCTCCCTCCCCTTCCCCCTACTCTGCCGCTCCCTGCCCCTCCCCCTGCCCTCACTCCCCCACCCCGTGGAGGAGGAGGAAGAGGGGGCGGGGCGTGTACCTTCAGCCTGAGGGAAACAGTTTCCCTTCCGTGTGCAGAGCGAGGAGGAGAGGAGCCGCAGGCCCCTGGTGCTCCAGACATGGGGACCCCTTGGGCGCCCTGGCCGCTCCTCTGGGCTGTGCTGCTGCTGGGCTGGCGGCCAGGATGGCTCCTAGGTAGGTGGGGCAAGGCTGGGGGGCAGGGGCAGGCCTGGGGTCAAGCCCTGGCCCTAGGTCTCTGGGACTGGGGGGGACTGTGTGGCTCTGGCTCTGGGCCAGGGAAGAGCCCTCTCTGGGCTCACCTGGTGGTGAGGCCCCTCTGTGACCGTCTGGGCGGCAAACCTGTGCCTCTCTCTGTAGGGCGACAGTGCTGGGCTGGCATGAACCCCAACCTGGGCCCGGCTGCCCCACTTGTGTTTCCCTGGGGTGGACCAGCCTCACGGGGCGGACGGGCTCCTGAGGGGACAGGCTGGATGGCCCAGAGATTGACTCTCGTTGTATCTAAAGTAACCTTGTGAGTAAAGACCACTCCCCCACCCCCTCAGGGCCTCCGGGCACCGGCCTGAGGTGTCTGGATAAGATGCCCAGGTGCAGTCTGGACATGGCCCACAGTGTCCATGGCAGGTTCTGGCCAGGGGACCCTGGTCCTGAGTCCCCTGTATGAGCCGTTCACTGGACAGGCCCTGCAGGCCATGGTCAGAGTCTGAGGGTCAGGGAGCCGGGCTCCTCCTGGCTGACCACCCACCCCCATCCTCAGCAAGCACTGCGCAGATGCGAACTGGGAAAGGTGGGTTCCCCATGTCCAGCCCAAGGCCTTTCCTTTGGACCTCGCTGGGATGGGAGCGTGGGGGCCCATGGAAGGGCCAAGATGAGGTGGAGGTGCCCTGGCATCTGGAGTCCTGGGGCCCAAGGGCTCTCAGTCACTGTGCCCCTCCAGGGTCTGCCTGGTGATGATGGGGGCACCAGACAGCCCAGCTTTTCCCCCTCAGTGTGGCCTCGCTCTTCAGGAAGACCTCAGGGTCCATGGAGAAACTCAACGCTGGGGTCAGTGATCCAGGGCCTGAGGCCAAATGGCGTGTCTTGTCCAGGCTCAGGAGCAGAAGGGGTGCACACCCCCTGGGAGGAGGGCCTGAAGAGTCAAGGGGGCTGAGACCCCTGCCCCGGGGCTGGTCCCCACCAGGACCCCTCCCCAGAGCAGGGAATCAGGTTCCACAGTCAGACCCTCCCAGTTCAGATGCGTCCTCCTGCGCCTGGGACGAGATGTTCACACGCAGGGTGCCTCGGTTTACCCACCTGTGACCTGGGCTCCGCACAGAGCGCAGCGATGCCGCGGCCTGGTGCCCTCCTGCCCCCTCCCGCACTGGGCACTCCGGCCACGGGGCTCTCTGCTCCAGGTCGTCCATGCGATTCCTTCGCTGTGTTTGTGAGTCTGGTCGTTCCCGTGGAAACCGCTCCTCATGGGCATGTTCTCCCCGCATCTGATGAACTGTGCAAACCCAACGGCAGCCCCTCACGCCCTCTGCAGTGAAGGAGAGTAGCCGGGTCTAAGCTCCTGACCCTCAGCGGCTCCCTCACCCTCTCGAACCCGCAGTTAGGGGCAGTGAGGCCTGCCCTCGAGGTCGCGAAAACCAAATCAGGTCACTGAAGAAAACTGTCCGGCACAGCCCATGACATGATTTTTTTAAATGCTGATCTCTTTGTTTTAATAACATTGTAATCATATGGCGAGAAAGGGAAGAAATGAATTATTTTGAATAGTGACACACCCCTGTGTGCACCTGGCATTACTTTAGTCCTTAGGTCTAAAAATTCTTTCAATAAAGTGAGAATGTCAGATAAATTTCACAAGGGTAAATGACATTGCTCATGACCCATGTTGGTGGAGGCCAGGAACATGATCGCCACTGTCCAGCTCCTCTGCTCTTTGGTTTTAGCTAATTATCTTCTTCCCCCTTTTATTTATCTTTTTATCTTCATTGTTGAAACTATTACAGAAGTCCCCGCATTTTTCCCCATTGACCCCTCCTCCCGCTCCCACCCCCTCCTGCTTTCCCCACCCAGCGTCTGTGTTCGAGGTTGTGCATATAAGTTCTTTGGTTCATCTCAACCCCAGCACACCCCCAGCCCCCTGAGGTTTGTCCGTCTGTTCCCTGCGTCCATGTCGCTGGATCTCTCGATGGGCAGCTTATTGTGCTTACTGTGCTTCATCAATAAGTGAGACCGTGCGGTGCTTGTCTTTCTCCGACTGGCTTGTTTCATTCCGCAAAGTGCTCTCCAGGTCCCTCCATGTCGTCTCAGGTGGTAAGAGACCTCTCTGTGACATCTTTTTTAAGTCAGACTGTTTTATTTATTTTTTTTCAAATTGCAGTTTTAAAAACTATTGGAAACACACAGAAGAGTTACAAAAGCAGCCCTGGCCGGTGTGGCTCAGCGGTTAGAGTGTCGGCCCGCAGACCATGAGTCACGGGTTCGATTCCGGTCAAGGGCATGTACCTTGGTTTCGGTTCGTCCCCAGCCCTGGTTGGGGTCGTGTGGGAGGCAGCCAGTCGATGTGTCTCTCTCACATCAGTGTTTCTCTCTCTCTCTCTCTCCCTCCCTCCTACTCTATCTGAAGATAAATAGAAAAATATTTTCTTGTGAGGATTACCAAAAAACATTTTTTTTAAAAGAGTTACAGCCCTGGTTGGTTTGGCTCAGCAGTTGGAGCATCGGCCTGCGGACCAGAGAGTCCCAGGTTCGGTTTCTGCTAGGGGCACGTACCAAAAAAAAAACATTTCAGACCAGGAGGCTTCTCAACTGAGGTTCACGGTCTCACAACTCAGAGGCTGGAAGCCGGGATCCAGGTGTCGGTCAGGCTGGTTCATCCAGGGGCCAGACAGGAATCCGGTCCCCGGACTCTTCATCTCCTACTGGTGGCCATCCATCCTGCTCGTCCTTTGGCTTGAACATCACCCCATCTCTCCTCTGTCTTCACATGGTCTCTCTTATGTGTGTCTGTCCAGATGTCCTTCTTCTTCGAAGGATACAGTCATGCTAAATGAAGGCCACTCTCCAGACAACAGCACATACAACCACCTGTTTCCACATAAGACCACAGTGAGGTGCTGGGTCAGGACTCGGCCTGTCAGTCTGGGCCCAAGTCCCACCTGTGCATGTCACTGAGATTTGGGCTGAGCCACACAGGACAGGATGCTCTCATCATGCCACAGACGCCCCCTCCTCCCAGGACGGTAGCTTCCCGAGGCCCGGGGTCAGATGTCCCTCGGCCGGAGCCCAGTGGGGCGCTGCCTGCGTGTCTGGCGGTCACGGTCCTCAGCTGCCTCTGCCCAGAGCAGGCCATGCCTCTGTGTGCACATGCCCTGGAGTTCTTTCTTTGCATTCAAATCTCGATTTTATTTCGCACACGGGAAGCCTCAGAACGGGAATATTTGTGCTGAGGTACAAGTGATGCTGCATCGACGACCCCGGGTGCACTGAGGATTCGGGGTTTGTCCATACTGGGAAGTGATGAGCTGCTTAGTAGCCGTCCCTGAACAGTGAAAACTTTCGAGACCCACTCTCGTGGCTGCTTTCAAATGTACTGTAGCCTCAGTGCCCGGGGTGGGTCCCAGACTCACTGGGTTCTGGCCACGCCCCTTACACTGCACAGACACACTGTTTAGTTCGTAACGGAGTTTCCCACCGAGATAAGAGGTAGCAATTCTGCACCTACTGGTGTGTACGGAGACTGAACCAAAAAGTCGTCGAAGGTGACCTCTGAGGTCCAGACTTCCTGCCCAGCCGCACGGGACGGGCACAAATCTTGGAAATCCTCGCTCTCCTGTTCCTCCCTTTCTAGAAGCCACCACCCGGAGAGCTCTTACTGACTCACACCTAACACGATCATATTTTCCCAACTAGACTAAAGATTTCCAGACGTAGAAAAAGGCATCCGGGGTAGGCAACCGCTGGATGGGGCCGGGTGTCCTGGCCAGCGCCCGCGCTCGCGGAAGAGGCTGTGGATTTCCTGACGTGTAGGGACAGGTCAGATACTCACATTTTCATGTGACATCTACATTTTATGTGTTAACCGATTCTAGGCTGTTTTGTTTCGTTTTTGAAAAGTTCTATGTGGCCCTGGCCGGTTTGGCTCAGCGGTTAGAGCGTCAGCCTGCGGTCCAGAGAGACCCGGGTTCGGTTCCCGCTAAGGGCGCGTACCTCGGTTGCAGTTTGTCCCCGGTCCTGGTTGGTTGTGCGGGTGGCAGCCACTCGATGTGTCCCTTTCACATCGATGTTTCTCTCTCTCTCTCTGTTCCTCTCTCTCCCTCCCACTCTACCTGAACAAAAAATGGAAAAATGTCCTCGGGTGAGGATAAAAAAATAAATAAAAAATAAAATAAAATAAAATAAAAGCTCTATGTGAGGTAAAGGGAAAAAACGTATCTTCAAGGTCCAAGGTAGTCACCACGGCCGTTCTGCGAGTTCTGGCCGAAAGCTATGGGAAGAGGTAACATTTAAATAAATAATGGTGGTCACCCGTGGGTGTCCGGGACGGTGCTGAAATCCAAGGATGCCCAGGGCCCTTCTATAAACGGACGTCGCATCTGCACGTCCCATCAGCGGGTGCACCCACACATCGCCTGCTTCCCATGGTCTCAGCAAGTGCTCAGCACGTGACAAGTTCAAGTTTTGCATTTTGGAATTTTCTGGGGTTTTTGGTTCTTTTGAATATTTTGATCCGAGATTGGTTGAGTCCATGGATGCGGAACCCATGGACTGAACAGGCGGATTGTCCAGTATTCAGTATAGTCACCACACTGCACATGACCCCAGGACTTGCTCATCTTACAACTGGAAGTTTCTATCTCTGGACCCTTCACTCTCCCATCCCCACCGCTGGCAACCACCCATCTGTTCTCTGTATCCACGAGCTTTTTGTTCTGTTTGTTTTTATTTTAGATTCCACATGTAAGTGAGATCATATGGCATTTGTCTTTCTCTGTCTGACATTTCACTTAGCATAACACCGTCAAGGTCCATCCAGGTTATCAAAATGGTAAGACTGTGTTCTTTCTTATCACCAGGGATGTTCCGCTGTGTGGAGGCACACAGCTTCCTCATCCACCTGTCCGTCTGTGGGCACACAGGCTGCTCCCGGCGTGGCTGGGCAAGCTCGTGTCCTTCTGTCCTGCTTGTTCTCTTCGGATAAGCACCGGACGTGGGCTTGCTGGGTCAGGTGGCAGCTCTATTTTTGATTTTTTGAGGGAAATCCCTACTGTTGTCCACAGTGGCTGCACCGAGTGGCATTCCCACCAAGGGCACTCAGGGGTTCCCTTTTTCCACATCCTCGGCCGCACCTGTCTGTGGATTTATTGAAAAAGCCATGCTAACAAGTACGAGGCAGCATCTCCGTGTGTTGACTTGCATGTCCCTGATGATTAGTGATGAGCATCTTGTTATATGTGATTGGCTTTCTGTATTTCCACCGTTAGAAAATGCCTGTTCGGGTGGTTTGCCAACTTTGTAATCAGATTGTTCATTTTTTTGCTTTTGAGTTGTATGGGCTCTTTACATACTTTGTTATGTGATACACAACGTATCAGATATGTGATTCGCAGGTATGTTTCTCGTTCTGGAGGCTGTCTTTCCATTTCGCGGACGGCTTCTCCACCCTGCAGAATCCTGCAGTTCGCCGTGGTCCCACGTGTCCGTGTTTGACTTTGTTGCCAGTCCTGGCATATTCTGGAAGGGTCCATGCGCCACCACCTGGGTGTGTCAGGTGTTGGGTCATGGAAGATCACAGATGTGCTGGCCCTTCCTGGGGCAGCCCTCGGAGACCCCACAATGGGGACATTCTCTCCGGGCCCACAGTAAAAGAAATTAAAGCTCATTTTCCCTTTGTGATGAACAAGAGACTCATGAGGCAGCAGGACAGAGACTACCTGTCAAATTCAGAGCCAACAGACAAATGACTCACAGATTAAGGTTGGGGCAGGTCAGATGAAATCCCAAACCAAAGAGAAACAGGGCGCCCCCTCCATACAGGGCGAGAGCAGGCTCTGGGGCTCAGCAGAGTGACTGTGGGGAGGGGCTCCGTGCACAGCAGGGGCGCCCTCAGGGGAGCTTGGGGGAGGGGCCCAGCCAGGAGAGGGGGGCCCTGGCCAGTTGGACCTGGGTGGAGACATGGATTCAGGAAAGGGGTGGGACAGTGACCTAGGGCGGTGCCAGCCAGACTGGGCCTCCCTGGTGGGTGTGAGGGGCACGCAGGCTGGCGCCGACACCCACTTTCTTAAAAAGAACTTGCTTCCCAAACATATGTGAGAAGAGGGGTGTTACGCTGCCAAGGGGAACAGGCCTGGCCTGCCGGAGGTTTGGGCACAATGAGAGAAGGTCTGGCTGTGTCCCCACAGGTGTTTGTGTGCCCCCTCCCGAGGACCCACCTGCCCCCGCCATCCCCAGTCCAGGCTTGAACCCCTCCAGGCCCCCTGTTGACAGGGCAAGAGGCCCAGGCTGGCTGGGCCCTGGCCTCCCCAAACCAGTGTCCTCAGTAGAAATGGGGGGGCGGGGAGAGATGGTCTTATATGTCCCTGAGCAGGACCACAGAAATGTCAGGACACTGGGAACACCTCAGGACCCACCTGGGCTCTAAATATCTGTGACTTTGCCCCGGGTGAGGTGCCCAGTGCAGACAGGGAGAGGGTGTCCTGGTCACACTGCACTGATGCGGCACTGACTCAAGGGACAGTGTCCCTTCACCAGGCAGGCCTCGCACAGGGCAGGGTCATCCCACTCGGGACACAGCTGAGCAGGACGGGCGCACAGCCAGGCAGCAAACACGACGTGAGCGTGGACTGGTGCGGGGAGGGGAGAGCACAGCCGAGCGTGTGTTCTTGAGTCACGGAGCCCTTCCTGTGGGGCGGCCTCGTTCGGGGCGTGTGGGCCAGAGCCCAGGGTGCCAGGCTCAGTTTCTGGTAGTCTCAGCGACGGAGGCCCAGCGGGCCTCTGACCCGGAGCCTGGGCAGAAGACACAAGGGCCCACACTGCCCGGGTCACCAGTGCTCGTGTGAGGGCCCAGCTCTGGGCTCGTCCTGAGAAGGGGCGAAGGCTGGTCCCTGAGCCCCTGGAGCTCGGCTCCCCGTGGAGGCCCTGCTGATCCAGCCCAGAGCCCGTCCCCGCCCCCAGCACAGGGCAGAGCTCAGAGATCTGGGGTGCAGAGTGGGAACCTGGAGTCAGTGGGGGGGGGAGGCCCTAAACCACCACTTGGGGGAGAAATAGGGCTGGGGGGCTGGGATCAGAGCCAGGGGCAGCCCAGACCCAGCTGGGGCCAGAACATAATTAGTGCACAGGACCCCACCACGGTGTCACCTGGTGACGTGCCGGGTGTGTCAAGGGGGAGCTGCCAGGCCCCGTGGCAGAGGCTCTGTGGAGGGGACCCCAGCATGGCTGGGCCTCCCTAACCTCCCCGGCTGACAGGGTGTGGGAAGTGGGAGGAGAGCTCGGGGGGCTGCCGCGCACCCCTCCTCAGGCCTGCTGGCTCTCTCCACCCCCAGAAACCACCCACCGGCCCTGGAGTCCCCTCACCTTCAACCCACCCCAGCTCACCGTGGCCGAGGGGGACACCGCCACCTTCACCTGCAGCCTCTCCCACATGTCTGGGGGCTTTGTGCTCAACTGGTACCGCATGAGCCCCAGCAACCAGACGGACAAGCTGGCCGCCTTCCCCGCGGACAGCACGGTGGCCCACAGGCACCGGCGCTTCCAGGTGACTCGGCTGCCCAGCGGGCGGGACTTCAGAATGAGCGTCCTCACCGCCCAGCGCAACGACAGCGGCGTCTACCTTTGTGGGGCCATCTACCTGTCCCCCACGATGCAGATCCTCCAGAGCCCCCGCGCAGAGCTCGTGGTGATAGGTGCAGAGTTGAGACCTGAGGGCACAGGTGAGGCTGAGGGCAGGGGGGAGGCTGAGGGCAGGGGGGAGGCTGAGGACAGGGGGAGGCTGAGGGCGGGGGGGGGCTGGAGGGCAGGGGTGGCTGAGGGCAGGGGTGAGTATGAGGACGGGTGCACAGGGCAGGGAAGGGCCTGGGAGGCCTGTCAGGCCAGTGGGCAGGGGCCCTCCAAGCCTCACTCCAGGACCCTGTCCCACACCCAGGACACGGGGACCAGTGGCCTCAGGTTTCTGTGCTTGAAATCGCCCCAGACCCACTGGCCCTGCGGGGGCAACATGTGGCCACTGCCTCTCAGAATGAGGTATGCAGGCCGCCTGAGGCTGGGCAGGCAGCACCCTGAGTCCCTGTCCCTGTCCCAATGCCTGAGACTCTGTCTTTGGTCTCTAGAGAGAACTCTGGAGCCGCCCACAGAGAGCCCGGGCCTTCCACCCAGACCCCCAGGCCAGGTACAGGGCCTGGTCATCGGTGTCACGAGAGACCTGATGAGCATCCTGCTGCTTCTGCTGCTGGTCTGGGTCCTAGTCACCAACTTCCCCAGGGCCACACGAGGTAATGCCCCAGCCAACCCCACACTGTCCCAGCCAGGTGAAGCCCAAGGCCTTGTCCACCAGCCCTGCCCCCCTGCCCTGCCCCCCTGCCCTCCACAGTGAGGGCCTAACCCTAACCCTAACCCGTACCCTAACCCTATCCCGTACCCTAACCCTAACCCGTACCCTAACCCTAACCCGTACCCTAACCCGTACCCTAACTCTACCCCTACCCCTAACCCTACTTCTACCCCTCACCCTCGACCCCGACCCTGACCCTAACCACTACCCGTACCACTACCCGTACCCCTAGCCCCTGGCCCTGGTCCTGCCCTGGCCCCTGCTCTCACACTGACCTCATGACCTCGTGATGCTCTGACCCTGTCTTTTAACCCCTGACCCTGTACTTGACCCACTGACCCTTACCCTCTGCCCCTTACTTTGACCCTTAACCCTTACGTTGATCCTGAACCCTAAACCCTGACCCTGACCCTAACTCTAAATCTTGAACCTGACCCTAAACCCTAACCCTGACTTCCAAAATAAATAAATTAGAGTTTAGAAAATAATTAGATCCTAAGAACAATAAAAAGGCCACAGACCAAAACTTACAAAATAGTGTACATTTTCAGTGCACATATTTAGAAAAGAGAAGGGCTGAAATTTTGCAAATATTACACTCATCATAAGAACCTAGAAGAGCACATTAAGTCTACAGAAAGAATAAAGTAAATGTGCATGTGCACAGAGCTCTCTGGAAGGGTGTGTGCTTAATATTGAAGCAGTTTTTCCTCTTGGAGTAGGATGTTTTAGCAAGTTGTATTGTTTGTACTGTTTCAGTAAGTTGTAACAAACTGCCATTTTGATTTTGAAAAATCTACTAGAGGAAAACATGGGCTACTTAAAAAAAAACATAAACACCTAGATGACTACAACTAGAAGTATTTTGGGGGGGGCAGGGCGTGGATATTATGAATTGTTTGGTCTACAATTGCTCCTTTTCTAATTCTAACTCCTTTATGGACGACGGCAGCAGTTCTGATAGAGGAAACTCCTATGCTTTTAGTCTCCAAAGCGGATCTGATAAGAAATTTCTCTTTTTTTTTTTTTTTTTTTTTTTTTTTTTAATAATCACCTGAGGATATTTTTTCCATTTTTTGTACAGATAGAGCGGGAGGGAGAGAGAGGAAGAGAGAGAGAGAGAAACATTGACGTGAAGGGACACATCGAGTGGCTGCCACCCGCACGATCAACCAGGGCCGGGGACAAACTGCAACCGAGGTACGCGCCCTCAGCGGGAACCGAACCCGGGTCTCTCAGGACCGCAGGCCGACGCTCTAACCGCTGAGCCAAACTGGCCAGGACAGAAATTTCTCTTTTTTTGTACTTACTACATTCATTGCTGGAAGACCCAGGTGCAAGAACCGGCTCTGCTCCTGGGAGCCTGTAATGCTCAAGTAAACTGACAACAGAGGCTGCGCACCCCTAAGTCCAGTGTCCAGTCTCGAGGACGTGCTCCCGAAAGGTGTTCCCCCGGGAACTGCTCACTCACATCGGCACCTGAGACTGTGCTGCAGAAACAGTCTGGGCACCTTTTCTGCTCCGCACAGACTGGCTGCACCTGCTCCCGTCCCTGCTCAGCTCAGCCCCCACCCTGGCTCACCTCATTTTCTCTGGGCCCCTTTGCTCACCTCACATTTGGCTTCACCCCAGTCTCACAACCAAGACTTTATAAACTTAAAAAATGCTTTGCAAAACCACTTGTTTAAAAAAAAAACAAGCCACACTCTGGGAAAAATTTTTGCAAGACAAATATCTGATAAATTGCTGCTCAAAATACAGAAAGAATTGTACTGCAAACATCTGCAATAAGAATGGGTAAAGATCTCAAACCCTGGCCAAAGATACACAGTGTAGACAAAAATGGGGCTTTATGGAAAATAACCTCTAGGTCATCAGATCATAAATTCCTGATACGTCAAAGTAGATACTGGCACCCCAGGCACATAACTTTTTTTTTTCCTTGATTCTCAGAGAGAGAGGAAGGGAGAGGGAGAGAGAAACATTGATGAGAGATGTGAGAGAGAGAAAGAGAGAGAGAGAACATCAACACCCCCCACCAGGGACCAGGCCCACAACCTGGGAACATGCCCTGACTGGGAATTGAACCAGTGACCTCCCGCTGCATGGGTCTAGGCTCAACCACTGAGCTACACTGACCGGGCATAACTTATTTAGTAAAAGACTTATCTTTGCCTTCAGCAGGCTCTGTCCATTGTGTCTGTGCATCTACAAGAACACACCTTTGAAGCCCCGACAGAGGTCTGGAGTTGTGAGGCTCGTAAACACGGAGCTGCTTTGCTACTAGAAGGCATTATCTTTCCCCGAGTTTCAGCTGTGCAGAAGCCGACCCCAAATAGAGACAGTTTCTAGCCTTATGCGTGAACAGCTTATTTAAACATACCTTAGACTTCCGGTCAGGGTGGCAGGTAGGTAATCGCGGTATCCTCTCCTCCCACAACCACATCAAAATCACAACTAAACTACAACACAACCATCATTCAGAACCACCTGAAATTATGGAAGGGAAGTCCTACAACTTCCAGGTTAAAGAAGCAGCCACATGGAGACTGGTACGAGGGGCAGAGGAGGGACGGAGGCGGACGGGCTGGGCCCATGTCCACCTGTGGTGGATAAACATCAAGAGGGACATCTGGCTGGGAAGGTCCTCCCTGAGGAGTGAGGGGTCCCCATCCCACACCAGGCGCCCAGCTCAGGGTTCCAGTACCAGCAGGAGAATCCCCATCACTTCTGCCTGTAAAACCAGTGGGAACTGAGCATGAGGGAGGCTGAGGCTGCTGGAGCCCCAGGCAGCTGCTCTTAAAAGGCCGGCAAGCCCTGGCCAGTTTGGCTCAGCAGTTAGAGCGTTGGCCTGCCGTCTGGAGAGACCCAGGTTCGGTTCCTGCTCAGGGCATGTACCTCGGTTGCAGTTTGTCCCCGGCCCTGGTTGGTCGTGCGGGTGGCAGCCACTCGATGTGTCCCTTTCACATCGATGTTTCTCTCTCTCTCTCCCTCCCACTCTATCTGAACAAAAAAATGGAAAAATGTCCTCGGGTGAGGATAAAAAAAAAAAAAAAAACGCCAGCGAGCACACTTACTAGGACTTGCTCCCTCTGCGCTCAAAGTGGAGGCTGCTTGAGGGCTGCCAGGGACACACAGGGAAGAACTGAGCTGTTGGCCTCGGGGCGAAGGCTGGGGAGGCCACTTTCTCCAGGACAGACTTGCCTCAGAGGCTGATGCTCCTTTGGTGAGCCCTTTCCAGGGGGGCAGAAGCCCTCTTATCTAGGACTCCAGCACCTGGCTCACACTGTGGGCCCACCCTGGTGATTTTCTGAGGCCCACGCAAGCTGTTTCCAAAGGCCAGTGGGACTGATCTGTCTTGGATTAGCTTGAGTTTCCTAGATTCTCTCAAAAAAACAGAATCTGGCCTCAGCGAGCCCCATACCTCTCGTTAAGTGGCCCCAGGCCCGGCACGAGCAGCAGGCAGCCTTGGTCAGCAACTCGGCCTCTCCCTCCAGTCAGAGCAGGTCATTGAGAGAACATGCTCTCTGGGCGCCTCCTTCATTCGTGTTCTTAGCTCTCCGCTCACTATATTCAACCATTTCAATACCTTAGACACAGTGTTTACAGCAATTAAACTGCTATTTTACAAGTGTTACTCTCTGTTCTGGCTACACTATGCATCAAGTACACTAATGAGCACAGGTTTATCAGCTCACTGCAAAGTGAATAATTCTGACTCCCAGTTTCTTCAGTGTTTAGAGCTATCTATTCAATCAACAGGAATTTTGTGGAAAACTCAGTATCCTCCCATATCTGAGAACCACTATTAGGTTGTATTAAATTTCCACAGGTTTTACTAAGGAGTTTCTGTGTTTCACTATTTACATCACTAGCTTCCACACTTGAAAATTTAAAGCATTCTATTCACATTGGTATAAATCCAAACACATAGAAATATTCTTTTTCAGATTGGTGGCTATTAATAGAGGCTTTAAAATCTCCATTCAAACAAAATAGAAATGGGCTCTTGGTATAGTGTTCACTTCTGTGGGTTGTTAATACAGGTGTCTCCAGGTAAAATTAACATAACATGCAGCGTCACGCTTCACTCCCCAGGGCCTGGAGTGAGAGGTCTCCTTCTCCGAGCCCTGAGGGTCTGCAATAGGTGAACAAGCAAATGGGGGTGGGCCCAAATGAGAACCTTGGGCGGGGCCATTGTCTAGTGTGCAACTTGTACTGTGTGATTCTTGAGTTGTTCTCTGGCACAAAATAACCACATCTTCATCATTAATTCAAGGTTATGTTACAATATGCTATTGGAGGGGTACAGAATGAGTTGCTCCAAGTTGGATACTGTTCCACTCTGACTATGAATTGCTGTGTTATGTTCACTCTGAAGATATGGGATTTTGATTTAGAGAGTATTGTATTGACTATCTTTGCTTTCTCTAAAATTGTATATTCTCACCGACCAGAGGGCTCTTGCTCATTCTACTTGAAGAAAACCTGCACCTCACCTAATGGCCCAGCTTGCCCTGCACTCGCTCCACCTGGACTTGGGGTGGGACTTGAGCAGGAAGCTTCGGAAAGGAACAGGTGGGGAGGGAGGAGGTGGACTGACCCTTCACAAGAGCACGGCCAACACCGTACCCTGTAACAGTGACTTCTCCATTTCTACACCCTTTTCTCCTCCAGCTGTTTAAAATGTTCTTCTCTCCAGAGCACAGGTCTGCGTCCCCTCGGAATGGAGTCCAGGGAGGCAGTTTCCCTCCAGGGCAGTGCTGGAGCCACACACAGGGGCACAGCTGACCTACTAGTTGTGATACTTCAGGCAAAGAAACGGAAACTCGGTCTCCTGCTCTGTCAGAGGCTGGTGACCGCTCCCTCTCAGGGTGGCTGTGAGGATTCTGTGAGGTGGTACCTGTAGCTCCTGCCCAGCATGTGATCAACACACACTCCCTTCCTCTTCCCTTCTTAGTTCTTTCTAACTTCCACGTCCGGATACATGGAGAGTTTAGCAAACAGCATCCTTAGCAGAACGAGTTCTTCTGTTGGTGTCCAGAGCCAAAGTCCCCGCAGGAACTCACTCTTGCACCTGTGCCGGCTCCATCCTCAGGGCGGCACTAACCACAGCCTCTCTCTGGTCCTCACCCTGCTCCTCTGCCAGCTCACGGACCTGCCAGCTCAGGCCAGCACCACCTCCACCGTGTGCTCCCTGCTCTCTGCTTCCTGTCCCCTCTCGTCCTACCTGACTTACTCCCTGTGATCACTTGATGTTTCAAAATTAACATCATGTATAAAATCTACCAACAGCTCCCCCGAGACAGGAGAGCAAAGTCTCCTGGGCACAGTGTGGACACTCTACTTATCAGGCCTGTTTCTTCCCCTGGTTGCATCTCACATCACACCACCCAGTCGGCCCAGGAGCCCAGATGTCAGCATTAACCTCCCTGGTTGGAAGACTGTTAGGGGCTTCTAATGAGACTGAGCTCTGAATGCCGGGAATGTAATAGAGTACAGACTTTTGTCACTTACAAAGTATCCACATTTATGAATTGTAACCATTCTGTAAAATAAATAGAAAGTGAGGAGAAACTAAGTGTCAAATAAAATAAACCTATTGCATCAAATAGGATAACTAGAGAAAATGGGTGACTCCCTAGTAAAACTTCACATTAATAAAATGGACCCTGAAATGAGGAAACTACAAACAGATAAACTACCCCTCCAGGCATCGCCTCCCCCTGCTGACTGTCCTCTCGTCGTTCTGGGTTTTCCCTCTCCTGGGAGAGGAAAGAGATAGGGACAGAGCTGATCGCAGCTCCCCTAAGATCTGTCCCCAGTAAATGCCTGCACCCCCCCCCACAGCCCCACCCCTGTTGTGCCCACCAAGTGAGGACACTGTGGGAAGGGAGTTTCAGACTACAACTGATTCTAATGTGTCACCTAAGACCATTGGATTGCAAGAGACTGGACACACTTACTAAAACAAAGTACGTTAATAATTTTTCAGTTGCAGAAATAAATGTGTACATGCAGTAAGAGGGGGCTTGGACGAGGCGGATGCAGGTCCTGACACTCACAGTGGGACCAGGTCCCTCACCAGCCCTCTCCCGACAGGTGCTGCTCCTGCTGCGAGCTGCCCTATGGAGAGCGAACGCGGGAGGCCTCCAGCCAACAGCCACGGAGAAACTGAGGTCCTCTAACTGACATCCCCTGACACCAGCCACAGGAACGAGCCTGGGAGCAGACCCTCCTGCTGTGTGTGGAGCAGCTCTGTCCCTGCAAATTCACAGGCTGGAACCTGTGCCCATGTGGTGCATTAGGAAGCAGGGCTGTTGGAGGGTGTTCATCCGCGAAGGTGGAGGCCTCGTGAAGGAACAAAATCAGTGCCCAGAGATACCCGGGAATCCTCCCTCATGGAGGGCACCTACCTGGAGCAGATGCACGGGAGCCCAGCAGACGGGTTGAGATGATCACTTCTCCACCAACACGCCTGTGGTTCCGTCACTGTGTGGCCCTCAACAGTCCCAAGGGGCAGGAAAGAAAGTGGCACCTGCTCTACCCAGGACAGAGACTGAGGCCACAGGGAGGGTGTGAGGGGCCCTCACCCCTCATCCCTTCTACCTTCACCACACACACAGCAACCACACCTGGATTTTTCCAAACTTTTACTTTTTCCAAGCTGCCCCTGAGAAGGACTGTCCATCCTCCTGTATAAAAATACAGATCTTTGTTAAGAAAATAAAACTCCATTGCCTTTCTGTCGTGTGAGGTTAGAGGGAGAAGGTCAAGCTGGGAACAGACTCAGACACGGACTCTGCTGGTGCCGTGGTCTTGGCCTTCCAGCCTGAGCTTGTGATGGAAATTCCTGTGGATGAGCCCCCAGGTCTGCGGGCAGCTGCAGCCACGTCTCAGGGGACTGTGGGACTGGAATCCACCCCAGGCTAACCGCTTTCTGCACTTCTCTGTTCCCCACACAAGCTCACATAGGGATCGTAAAGGAGGTGGGGCCTCAGGTCATGAAGGTAGAGTCAGGGCCTCAAAATCTGAAGTTTTGATCCTGACCCTCAGACTCAGATGACCATAGACCCTAACACCTGACCCTGCTCTGACCCTGACGCTAAACCCCAGTCCTAAACCCTGGCCCTGACCCCAAACCAACCCCAACCCTCACCCCCTTTGCTGCCAGTAAGATGTGTTGCCAGTACCCAATTATCTTTCAACATTTCACAACATGGAAACATTGTGCCAAAAACCTAGCCACAGACACTCTCATATACCAAACTTAAGCAAAGTGTAAATGAAAACACATTCTAAGAAAGAAAAGAAAGTTTATTGTTTAATGTTTGGGGGGTGGTGTACTTAAGACTTTCTATCCCGCAGATGAAACAGAAGCAATACTAAGAAGGCTAAAACAGCTTAGCTACCTTTATTGATATCTTGTAGTTATTCGGGCATATCAGCTCCTTTATATCTGTTTCAAATTTCTTACATGAAACCTCTGGAAGTTTCACACCAGCAAAAGCATTTTCACACACACAGTTGATTTTTACATTACACACTTAGTATATATTTGATCTTTGTTCTGTACATCTCTATGGCTTTACTACTTTCAGGACAAAAATCACATATAAAAATACAGATGACTCTGAACACAGAAGCCACGGCCATCCAGACTGTGGCTCCCACTCAGACTGCACTGGACGCACCTGTTTGGAAACACCACAGTCACACTGACCCTGTGATGCGGTTCCAGGACACCTCCTCACAGTTCTCCTTCCCGCTGACAAGAGAGACACCGAGCTAGTTCACGTGTGTTATATCTTCCTATTTTCAACCAAATTCTGGTTTTAAAATGACAATTGAGAACATGTAAATTCAAACTGTTAATGCATATATGGGAAAAACATGTCTTATGCATTGCCTTTTTATAAGGCAAAGATGGTTTAAAATAAATAAAAGCCATTGAAAATCATAGGGGAACAAATTTAGTCAGGCAACATAATACAACAGATTGACAGGTGTCCTTTGTTCAATAGTATGTGTGGAGATGTGCACAGATCACAGAGGCCGCTACAGATGGATTATAATAACGCCCAACATGCAGTGTAGCACACACCACGCTCCTCTCTCTGCAGGACGCCGCCTGCCTCGTTAGACAAAGTACACACAACCAGGACAAGCCCCCTTTACAACAGCTTGAAGTTACAAATCGAGGATGAGATACGTTTTCCCGCTACACACGCACACAGCATCCGGTGACAAAGATGATTCAGTGACTACAAACAGCAACAAGGTAACAAAATAACCGGGTTGTCATTAGTTAACTGGTTGAAACCACAGAGACACTGAACCTCAACAAAACCCAAGAGGCTAAGGGATAAAATTAATCCTAATGTCTGAGTGAGAAAGCACTCTGAGCTTGGGCTTACTGTTAACATTTAATACTAGTCTTTTCTTTGGGTAAAAAATAAATGTGGACGAAAACCAATGTTTTGAAATATCAGGTGTAACTTCAAAACATTTCCGCCACCACCAAGCCCCTTTCCTTCTGGACCAGACCCCATGGGACAGGAAGCTCCTCCCACAGGAGCCCAGCCGGCTCCCCGAGGCTGAAACTGCTGTCACAGTGCAGCCAGCAAAACACATGCATTTGTTCTTGAAAAAATGTACAAAACTACCAAATCCTCTGCAGAATTACAAAGGATAAAATCTATGAATCAGTGCTCTAATGTGATTACAGAAAATACCAACTGATGTTAAGACAAAAAGCACAGGCCACCTCCAAGAGCCCTGAGTCCAGCCCAGCCTGAGTCCCTCCCCCTGCCAACTGAGGACCAACAGGTCAGTCCTCGGACACCCACAGGCCCACTGAAGGACCAGAGTGATCCCCGTCATTGGGAAAACTTACATGGTGTATTACCTACACAAAACACTCATTTTCTCCTTCAGGATATTCTTCCAAGGATTACTAGATATTGGTTCTTTTATTTTTCATTGATTGACTGACTGATTTGTTGTTCTTCTTATTTATGCATTCATTGGTTGATTCTATATGTGCCCTGACCAGAGATTGAACCCCAAACCTTGGAGTCTTGGGCTGATGTTCTAGCCAACAGAGCTACCCATACAGGGTGACATTAATTCTTTTAAAGGTAATAAAAGACATCAGAGAAAAAAATCACTTGAAATTCTTTTGGAATTCCTAAAAGATATCTTGCAGTTTGATACTTTTGTTCTTCCTTCCCCAACATGATTTAAAAAAAAAAAAAAAACCTACACTGACAACCCCCATAAGAGTGACTTCCATTACTTACAATAAGGGAGGCTTTTCAGGAAAAGTTCCCTCTTTAAAACTGCAATCTCTAGTGAAAGTCAGGGCCAGGAATTAAGAGGTTAATAACATAACGTTCAAACTTGGACATGGGGGTGTCACGCCCAGAAACAACTCGCAGGTTCATGACCTTGTGCTTCCCGCTCACGTCCCATCCGCAGCCCGACCCCGGCCCGGCCGGGTCACCTGGACCAGTTTCACTGCTACAGACGCCTCTACCTGTGTCACAAGAACTGGCAGTAAACCCTTCTCTGGGACACTCTCTTTTTCGAGAAAACAGTCTCCCATGCACTTGCATTTGTCAGATTATATTTTTAAAAATCTACCATTTAATGAAAATTCTACCAGATCATCGAGATCGAACTGGAAGAAACATGTGGACGGGCGCCCTCTGCTGGCCGCAGGCTGCGCCGCCCGCCCTCACGTGTCCCTGTAGCAGAGCAGGTGGTACCTCAGGGGTCAGGCAGGGTCAGACTCAGGACCTTCTCCCTCAGAAAGCTCACGGGGTGGGAGGGGGGCTCTGGCTTGTCTCAGCCGGGCTCCGCCCCTCCTCTTCCTTCTGCTCCTCTTCTAAACCTTCACAGCTGTTGTCCTCTGACAGGTTGGAAATTCGACTGGCAAAGACCTCTTTGTCCAAACAATGATTTCCATTTGACGGGGGTGAATGCTCCTTCACTTGAACCTGGGAGTGGCCTTTAGTCCATCCCATTTCTGCTCCCTGCTTCCTGGTGAATGACCTTCTTAATGGTGCCCCGAAAGGCAAAGCGAGCCAAGTCCTGGAGGCCGCGGACGGCCAGGGGGCTGTGGGGTGAAGGACAGGACCAGTGTCTGTGAGAGCACAGGCCTCAGCAACCGAAAACTGCGTCTTGACAGCACAGCCCAGGACGGGAGCTCACTGCAGAAGGCTCTCTAAGCACATCACCCTGAGCTCTGACAGGGAAGGGAAGCTCCCTGCTGCTGGTGACTCAGCAGCGACAGCCTGGCTCCTCTCCTCCCGTCATCACCTGGCTCCTCACTCTGGTCGCTGTGTCCATCCACAGTCCTTCCGTCCAGTGCACCCAGCACTTCCCTGGCCACTTCACTGTTTTCAACATGCTTTACGGGATGAATGGTTCCTTTCTGTGAAAGTAAAGTGGATCACAGCATCGTAAAGAACAAAACTGCACAGCACACCCAAGAAAAGTAAAACCTGGCGACTACAACTCCGATTAGTGCAGGCCCTGCACACGAGGACGTGAGAGATTCTCTCACAGGGCAAGGAACTAGGGGGTCGAGTGTTTCAATACATTAAACTCAGCATCAGCATCTCTTTTCCCCTCCAGTACCTAAGTACTCCAAAAACCACAACCCACAGTAGGGGTGCTCTCACACTGTAACATTTATTTCCCAAATTGGAGAGGCCTGTGCAGAATCTCAGCAAATCCCCACTGGTTTGTGGGAGCCCTAAAAATTTCAGGGATCCCAAGCTCTCTGTACCTTCTCTACATTGTCAGCACCAACTCTTCTGTCTGCTCAGTCCTCCTCCTGCAGGAAGGGCTCCAGGGCTCACCCTGCCACTCCGCATGCTGCTGCTCCTGAGGCAGCTAGAAGGAGTCCTGCACAGGCCACCAGACCTGCCCCTGCACAGGGGCCACGTGGGGAGGAGCCTGCTCCCGGCAGCCTGAGTCCCTCGCTGGCTGCCCCCCGCCCAGCCCCAGCGGCATTTCCTAAGGCTGTGATTCCACCCTCTCTGCTCTCCTGTCTATTCCTGGGTCTGACACCTGCTCTGTGGCTTTGATGAAACTGGCCAGCGGCACCCAGGGCTCTAACCCAGCCCTGACCAGGGTCCGGAGCCTCCCACAAGCCCACATCTACAACATCCTCTGACACCCTTCCTCAGAGAGGCCCCAGGGCCTCCAGGAGTCCTTTCCCAAACAGGCCAGGGTCTGACTTCCCATCTTCATCTCCAGCCTGGAAGATTCAATTTGCCTCCTAACTGGTTCCTGCCTGCACTATCCCTGGATGCCCACTGACAGCCGACCCCGTCTACACCTGCACAACCTCACTGTCTG